AGAACTCACATAGAAAATCCTAGAAGGAATTGGTCCAGAGGGTAAACTTTAATGAGAAGTTTCATTTATAGATTTATTCAAATAATTTTTTTGTAGATGTAATACTTTAATCATAGCTGGGAGGTGTGTGTCAATCAAGTTGCCTGTTGTCAGGTTCTTTCCCCACCCATCTGCTCTGTGTCACAAGGAACTACATTTCCCAGGCTCCTTTGCCCTCTGACTCCTGGTTTAGCCAATGGGAAGACTGACAAAAGATTGGCATGCAGAACGAAGGCAGAAGCTGGGATATTTCTCCTCCCTCCCTGCTCCCTGTAGCATTTTCTGCCTCAGCTGCATCCATTCTCTGACTGGAGATCCTCCCTCTGGCATCCCAGCTCCTGCTGCTCATCCCCGGGGCATCCACTGTCACCGTTCCAGCTCCCGCTCTGGGCTCTCATGCCCCCTCTTCCTACTGTCCCTCCATCTGTAGGAGTGATAATGGCTTCTTGCTGTTGCTAATCTCTGGGTTACCCTCCTGTGAGTCCCCATCCTGGCAGCCATAAAGCTTCCCTTCTCCCAGGAACCCTGCCTTTCCTGTCATCAGTTTCCCTTCCTCCACTTACCGACCCACCCACACTTCAGATCTGTAGCACGTCCCCTCCCTTTCCTACCTTCTAGAATTCACTTTTGTGTTTTCTTTTCTCCTCTGATACTCAAATGGTGATTTTCTGTTTCTCCCTCTTCTCTCTAACCTGCTCATGGGCACAGTCACAACCAGAGACTGAACTGTGTGGAAAGCAAAGAAAAAAATTTTCTTTGTCTCTCATTAGTCACAGTGTGTGGGGCTGCTGGATCTGGGACCCCGTCCACTCTGTGACCACAAAGTCCCAAGATTTCCAGTGAATGGTTTAGAGCCCAGGCTTGTCCAACTGTGGGTCAGCCAGACAGTGGTGTCCCTGAGCCTACTTTCTCCCAGTGACTAGGTAGAATATACAAAAATCTTAAAGATTTACAATTGCACAGCTGCAAATAGACTTTTGAGATGATCTGGCCTTTTTATTTCCTTTTTCTGTTTTCAGAAGCAAGATATTTTTTTTGAAAAACCTTGAGATTCCCTGCAGATTGTGGCTTTTCTGCTAGCCAGAAGGAGAGGTCTCCTGTGTAGAAGTGTGTATGGAGTAGAGGATGGGGTTGGGGGTGGGGAGGATATGAGGCAAACAGGAGCAACCCTCTTTCCAAAGCCAGAGGAATCTTGTTCAAGTTGTTCCACTTGTGGCGGGCAGTGGAGAGATAAAGGGAGGCACAGGCAGGGGTTGGAGGGGTAGAGAATGAAGCAGGAAGCAGCTGCAGTAGTAGACTGTAGAACTCGACATTCAGTCAAAAACTATTGAGGGAGAGATGCTGAGGATCCTGAGAGGCAAAACCTCTTTCTCTCAGGGAAGTGGCATTCTAGTGGGGGCAGGAAGATGGCAGCAAAGACATGCTAGTTGGGCTTCATCATCTGTTGGTAGATGGATGATTGAATCCAACACATCCCTATGTCCACACATTGCTCCCCTCTCATGCCCCACAGACCCTAATCAGGCCATTGTATACATTTCTTCTGGAATAATCTTCCTGAGACACATTTCTTCACATTTCCTTCAAGAGCCTAAAGCTTCCCCTGGATGCCTCCAATTCCTTTCTGGTTCATTTCAAAACTGTGCAATTAACACACTAGCTATGGCTCCACAGTAGCCTCAAAAGACTGGATTCCTCTTGAGAAGGGACAGAAGAGAGGGCTGTGAGGGTCTAAGACCCTGGCCTGCCGTTGGCCTCTATCTGAAGAAAGTAAGGCTCAGGGGTTCTGGGGAATTTTGTGCCAGAAGAATCCAGGGAAGCCAGGTCTCAACTCCTGTGGTAACTGACTTGAGCCAGAGGGAAGCTCATATACTCTGAGCATGAGGAGGACCCACTGCCCATGAGGTAGCTTAGCAGGAAACTAGGTCCAACCGGGATGAGCCACTTTGAATCATGACAACCTGACCCAATCATTCTCTGTAATGAAAGGAATAAACCTAGAGGGAGTTTTCCTTCCTTTGAGTCACCTCCATGTGTGGATTCCCTCCATGTCAGGACAAGACATCTTGGTTCACAAAAGACTTTCCTACTCTGTCCTGTTCAAATTCAAATTACTGAGTCATGGGATCAATGAGCATAGGAAAATGGTTAAGTTGCAAATTTTCAGGGATGCAACAATAGTAAACAATAGTAAACAGTAGATTTACCTTGTTACAAGAGAGCAAATTTCACAGAACACACAGCACGAATAAAACTGGGCCCCCAAAATCAGTGGAACAAAGGATGGGAAAATTTCCTAAACTCTCTCCATCTTGAACCTTTTTCTCTACGTGTCTGCTTCACTCTAATCTCCTGTAGATCACCTTCCTTTTTCTTCTCCAGACCACAGTGTGGATGGAAAATGCCTTCCCACAGCTCCCATGCATACTTGCTACTAACTAGGTATAACTGATTACATATCACTGAGCCATTCAATCAAAATATTTAAAGTGTTCCCTCTGGCCTAGTGTGGGTCAGATGTCCATCCCAGATCCAATCCATGTCAGGGGGCAGTAGGGCCGCTTGTATGGACATGTGTTGGAAGACAGAATGTTACCATTGCCAAATGGATGCAGTTGGAAGGAGGGCAAACAGGTCATCACAGGCATTCACTACGTTCTCAGAGGCAGAAGGAGATTTTCCTGGATTCTAACAAAAACTATCCTTCATAACTAAGGACTCTAAGATAACCATCCTTATCTAGGAGGACTTAATCTAATCACATGGGGTATTAAAAGTGGAAGAAGGCAGAAGAGTCTGTGGGAGATCAGAATTGCCACCTCAAAATATGTCTCTTCACCTTTATTATTTCAAGAACAAAAGACTCTGAAAGAAACTTTGACCTCCCACCCCACTAATTGCCTAAAAGAGTTTAAGATAGAAGGCCTTACCCCAGGACAGGCCATCACCAAAGATAACTCTGGGTATGGATAGACTGGGAGGGTCCTTGCTAAACCCATTCTTATCAAAGCTCTGAAAACCAAGTAAAAGTAGAATTTACCCTTTGTAAGAGACATTTACATTTGAAGGAGAATCTCCATTTGTAAAGGTATCTCCCTCTCTGTACCAGGAAGAAGACAGGATGAACTTATCTCTAGAAATTCTTATCAATTCAGAAGGCAAGGACTTAAATCTGCATACTAACCTTATTCTTGTTTACTGTCCTTTTCTGGTAATTTCTCATAGCTGACTCTGTCTACCCCCAACATCCTCTTTTGTCTTTAGCTGGAGATAGTATTTAAGATGAGAACCTCTGCCGTTTTGTTGAGTTACCCCATTTTTCCTGGGTCTCTCCCATGTATACATGTTATAAAGCTTTGTTTGATTTTCTCCTGCTATTCGGTCTCATGTCAATTTAATTTGTAGCCCAGCCAGAAAGGACCCAGAGTGGGTAGAGGATAATCTTCCTCCCCTGCAAGTGAAAGTGATTCAAAGGAAGAAGAATCAAGAGAGATTCAAATTTAAGGGACTCAAGCTGCCATTGCTGCATTGAAGATGGAGGAAGGGGGCCATAGACAAGGAAGGTGGCAGTCTGTAGAAACTGGGACTAGTCCTCAGCTGACAGCCAGCAGGAATGGCAACCTCAGTACTACAACTGCAAGAGACTGAATTCTGCCAACAATCTGAAGGAGCAAGTAAACAGATTCTACCCTAGGGCCTCCAGAAAGAAACACAGCCTGAAGACACCTTGATTTTAGCTTGGTGAGACCCATGTTGGACTTCTGACCTACAAAAATGTGACGTAATTAATGTTGTTTTATGTCCCCAAATTTATGGTAATTTATTATGGCAGCAAAAGAAAAGTAATACAATAAGGATTTTGTGAAAATGTTGCCATGAACTAAACTGTGAAACCGTGGTAAATAAATTGTGGTGGCTTAAAAATTTAGAAAGAGCTTAGTTGAAGAATGAAGATTATTAACAAATTTACTTAACAAATGTAACTTGACAACCACATGCCAGGTAGAGGGGATACAGTGGTGAACAAGAACAGTGATGATAATGAAGAGTAGCCTTTCCCCAGTATCCATCAGTTGAAAGGAAAATCCCTAAACATCAATGAATGCTCAGGGGTGGAAATATCACTTTCCTAGGCATGGATTCTACAGTGTGACAAAAATACCACTAAAGATCATCTAGCTTCCTTCCTCCCAAATTCTTATTCCACAGACAATCTTTAGGTGTTAAGTTGTGATCCCTAAAGACCTTCCAAGTAGGAGGATTGATTCTGGCTCCATGATCACGCATCACATTGACAAAGTGTGTACACATGTGCCCATTATTAGTGAAGGGTTTGGCCTCTAGTCCCTTCACATCCTGTGTGATGCAGTCCCTGTGAATTCATTCTCTGGACCACATCACCCTGAAGACTCAATCCAATGAAGTCTGGACCTGTGGCTCTGACAATCGACCTTGAAGGAACCAAGTGGGATGTGGCCTCCATAGTCACCTACAAGGATCCCTTCATGAGGGTGTCCTGGGAAAGGTATCTCAAGGCAGCACATGGGGCAATGGGGCTATAAAGAACAACAAGTTAGGGGGTGGGGGTGGGACAGAGGCCCAACATCTCCCAGCAGCACAAGTTTTTGTATGAGTTATATAATTTACTTAACTTGGCCCTTCTTCAGTTTCCACATTCTCTAAATGAGACTACCTCATGGGGTAGTTGTGAGGATTAAATGAGTGAAATTTACTTAAAGCATTTAGAAGAGCACCAGTATATTTTAACTTATTTATAAGTGTTAGTTATTGTTGTTCAAATCCCAGCTGTCGAGCACTTGCTGATTCAACTTTGGAAAGTTAATTCACTTTTCTGCACCCCTGTTTCCTTATCCATAAAAAGGAGACAATAAAGTGGTACCAAACTCAAGTCTCATATGAAATAATGAAATTAATATTAGTGAAGTGCTTCACACAATGTGTGCATTTAGTAAGTATTTTATTGTTGTGATGTGTTGCTGTGAAGGAGGAGGCCCTCAGCTCCAGGCTGGGCAGGGAGAAGCAAGGATGTTACTTCAGCTTGAGAATCCCCATTCCCATCAGCGGAGCCCCGGGGCACTGGGGTCTCCAGGCAAAGATCATACACAGTAACAAGGGAACTCTGCACTCAAGTCAGCGCTGGGCAAATGGTCAAAACAGTGGGATCTGATTTCTCAATACCAAAAATAGGCCACAGAGGCTCAGAGAAGGAGGTGTGTGGGAAGGTGTAGATATGAGATCCATCCGTGGCATTGTAGAATGAGACCTCACCAGTCTCATAGTCCAGGAAAACCCCCACTCTCTGAGGAGGGTTTGCAATTCTCAAATTTGTCTCGGGGAGAGTGAGAGCCACAAAGTCTTTCCCATTAGACAGGCGAATAGTCCAGAATCCATTCTCTGGTGCCATATTAACCCAAAATCCTCTTGCCACGTTCCCCCTACACACACCGACATACCACTCTTTCATGTCCCCCACCTCCACCTCCCAGAAATGTCTCCCTGACGTGAAGCTCTTACAGCCAAGCACACAGAAATGCCAATAAAATCTCCTAGGATTGTAGAACACCAACAGTTCTCTCTCTGTCCGCATCAGGCTCCTCTGGTCTTCAGAAACATGGAGGAAGGGGTTTGCTGTGTCCGGATCCAGAATCACATCCGCTGCAAAAAGTTTGGGGACGGGCCATGGGGTCAGCCATGCTCCTAGACCTCAGAGCCTCAGCCTTCATGACCTGGGTCTGGCTGAGGAGGTCCAAGTCCAGAGCCTGGTGTCCCCAGCCTGCCCTGAATGTGACTCTCTCAGCAATACCAAAAGAAAGGCCTAGGCATCTTGTGTTCAGTGGAATAGAGTGCTAAGGGTCAGGGTCTGCCTAACCTGACATCTCTACCTGGCTCCTTCCTTCCATCTTTTTCCTACTTCCCTCCCCAGAATGACTCTGCCCACCTGTGTTTTATAGTCACATAGATTCGAATTTTAATCCTGGCTCTACCATTCATGAGCTGAATGACTTCCTTTTCTGCACAGTCTCTTTTTCCATAGACCCAAGCTATATAATATCTTGGAGCCTCAATTTCCTTATCTGAAAAATGGGGATAAAAATACTAATCTCTGGGGTATAAATATACAACACGTGTTTTATACGTAGCCCAGGGCTGGGCATGGAGGAAGTGCCTGATGTTGTAATAGCTCCATGACTTTTCTGTGCTAGAGGCCACGTCGGGGGCTCTCTGTGCTCCCAGAACCCCTCTCCACCTTTCTCTACCCTATTCTGGGTCCCAGGAATCTATCCTCTATGGACTGCATGACTGGGGTCCCTTACTTCTGGTTACCTGTTGGGTTAGGCCAATGGGAGGTACTAGATGAAGATTGGAAGGAGAAAGGAAAGAGAGGAACAGCATTTATTTCCCCCACTTCCTTCCTGCCAACATCAGATAATGATGCTCTAACAAGGCATGAGTCCTCCCAGGCAGCCCCATCCTTGAGCTACAGCTTCCTCTGGGCTCCAGTAACTGCTCCCTCCCCCTATTCCTTCAAGCCTAGGGATGGTGACAGTACCCCACTCTTGTGATCACTGGGGTACATCACATTCCCTTGTTGGTTTCCCTTAACCACACTCCTAACTTTGTAAAGAGTTCCTTTTCTAAACCTCCTTCAACCACCCAGTTTGAACAAGCCATCTCTTTCTTTTTGGTTTCTTGACCAAAACTCCTTCATTACTTCATTTCATGTTTACCTCAACTCTCAAACAGTAGTAATTATGATCATCATTTAAAAATGAAGACACTAAATTTCAGAAACCTTAAGTAACTTGGGAACACACAGCGGCAGGAAGTGGCATAAGAAGCTTGGGAAAAGCAAAGATCTTTGTGTACTCCCTTCTCTCCTTTTGTCACTCCAAATCCTCACTCTCCCTGCAGTATTAGTTCACTCTGCCTCTCCTTTCCCTCAGCCCAACCTTTATGCCTCTTCCTCCCATGAAGATCTGTGGAAGCCCAGGGGATCAATTCTCTCTGGTTCTTAGATCTCAGCAGGAAGGACCTGGAGATGGGCATGCCTTTGAGACCAGGACCTTAGTTTCCCACCCAGAACTCTGCCTGTCATGAGGACTTTTCTTCCCAGAACCTCAAGAGTTGGATAAGAAAAGGGGAATATGTTCCCTGAGGTTGTTGTCTTAGGGAACATACAGTGATTTCACTTACCAGCTTGGAAGAGGGCCATCTTCCATTCTGAAAGGCAGGAGACACAGACAAGGAAAGGGCATTATTTCTGTTTTTGTCCCCACCCATTCTCCTCACTAACGCTTTTCTCCCTCTCTTTCTTCAGTCTCTTCTGATGTCCAACTCCCTTCATCCATAGCTCTGCTGGATCAGGCATAGAACCTCTCAAAAATGGTGGACTTCCTCCCTCCATCATGCTGGGGCTGCAGGCAACATAGCCAGGCTTTGCTAGGGTGTGGGCATGTGTGCCAGCAGGGTGAGGGGTAGCTAGACCTACCCAGATGCTGTATTTAGAAGGTCTTCTCTGATGCTCCAGAAAAGCAGGGGTAGTATGCCCCCTAGAAAATGAGCCTCTGGGCTAGATCTGATTATTCCTACTGGGAATGCCAATGGGTCACACAGCATAGAAAAGGTTTAAAGGCTTAGTACCCGTGTGCCAGGAAACTCAGAGGACATCAGAGTCACTCACCAGCATAGGCCAGAGACTTCTCTCCACCTACAATGGAATAAAGGAAGAGATATCACCTTAACTATGTCATTTCTGAGTTATATTCTTTCTCTTCTTTTGCACTGATCTAATCTTTCTTTTTGACCCCCAACCCACCCTTCTTACCTTCTACCTCTGCCTATTCTATTCTCTCCTCCCCTCTCCTCCTTATTATCAAGTCTGAGAACATCAATTGCACGCTGATGATACCACAGGCACCATGTAAATGCTTTCCCAGCTGAGACTCGGCAGATCTATTTTGTACGTGTCTACACTCCCATACCTGGGTGCAGGTGTCACTGTGTGTACATGTGTCCGTGTGCATGCACTAGAATCCATCTGTCTCAAGCTGTATTATGTCCTGCCTACTCTGAAAAGAATTGGTCAACTTAATGAGGAAAAAATCAATTACTATTTTTTTAAAAAGCAGTTCTAATAAATCTATGACAACTGAGCCACTGTGGCCACTCCTTTTTTTAAGACACACTTTTCTATATCCCTCTTCTCTGATTTTCTCATTCTTCTAAATCTTATATTCTTTGTTTTCTTCTCAGCAGCCAAAGGTTATGTTAATCAATTAGTGAGGTTCCCAGCATAGGGAAGGCCCTTCATCTAGAGAGTCCCATCCCCTCCTCCTCCTTTCCTATCAAGTGCACCCTGGATATTCCCTGGTGCCTTGCTGGGCTGAAGAGTCTGCGGGCCCCTCGTGGAGACAGGTAGAAGGCCCTTTCCTCCATTAAAAAACAATACTCCCCAGTGCTTCCCCCCGATTCAGTCACCCTTATTTCTTTCCCTTGGTAAAGGGATCCCGGATATTTCTCAGCCCTGGGCAGAGTTAAGGATGAGGAAAGGGGCTGGGAAATATCCCAGCAGAGAGTCTTAGACGGGAAGTCAGAGAAAATGTCAGAACCACTCAGGCATGAGCCATGAACAGGTGATCTATCTCTCATAAGTGTGCAATGGTAGAAACCTGAAGAGTCATTAAGATGCTTAATGCAGTGATACCGAGAAGTGGGTGATTCCCCGTGACAACTGGAACTTACGCAGTACAAGCTGGAGGTACTCTAGAAAATAAGCAGGAAAAAAAAATTACTATTATGGGGATGGAGTGGGGAGGACCTCTGGGAAATAAACCTTACTAATGACCCAGTGCAGGGATAGCTGCACAGAGTGGGGAGTCATGAGGTCTTTGGGCTCCCTCCCCTAAGCCAGGGCCTTAGGTTCCCTCCCTGGTCAGATACCTCTTGCCCTTCGTTCCAAATCCTTTTCTGCTCGTTCTCGAAAGTAGAAGTAAATGGCCCCTGCGAGAAGCAGCAGCAAGATGGGCAGGGTTACCCCCAAGGCTGCCATCCAGGGCCAGGCCCTCCAGAAGAAGGAATCTGCAATGGAATGGAGTTTTAGCATCTCACTGCCAGGGTGGGGAACATAGAGTTTATCTCATGACATTAAATGTTCCTTCTTCTACTAAAGTCTCAGGGAACCTTGGGTAAGACTTCAGTAAACTCTAAATATAACATAATACTATTACTTGTCTCGAGCTGTCTGCTTCTCACATCTGATTATGAATTACTTGAGCATCAGGATCATATGTTTTTTCTAATTTAATTTCTCAATAGGCTACATTTAATTTACATGGTTCAAATATCAAAAAAATATAAAATGTCATCCACTCCCTCCTCCTTCCCCCCATTTATTAGCCTCTCGTTATCAGCTTAATATGATGGCTAAGAGTAGGAACTTAGGAGCTGAGGGCATGATTCAAATTCTGGAAGCTCCACTTGATGGCAATGTGATCTTTGACTAGTTACTTCACCACTCTGCTCCTGGCGTCCTAATCAGTAACATGGGGGTAATAATAGTACCTCACTCATAAGGTTAAAAGGATTCAATTAATGCTTCTAAAGTGCCTGACACATAGAGAGTGCTATGCAAGTGTGTATTAAATTTTAAAAATGTAAATATATTCTTATTTTTTCTTGTTTACACCAAAGACAGCATTCTATACCAATGGGTCTGCATCTGGCATTTTCTGGTCATCTTGGAGATCCTGCCATGTTAGCACAGGGAGAATGTCTGTGTTTTATTTCCCAGCTGTGCAATATTCCATTGAATAAAAGTTCCCCGTTGATGGATACTTGCATAAATCCTAACTTTCTGCTGTTATAATTGATGCTACAAGAAATAATCTTTTACATTGGTCATTTCATATGAATGCCCGTGTGTCTGTCAGAGAAATTCCCAGAAGTGGGATTTTGGATCAGTAAATAAGAAGTTTGAATAAATACTGCTATATTGCCATCAATTGAAGTTGAGCCAATTTATACCAAAAATATACCAAATTATACCAACAAATGTCCAAGATGACTGTCTCCTCACAATCTTGCCATCAGAATGAATCTACCAACTTGGTTTTGTTTTGTTTTGTTGCCAACATCACAAGTGGAAAATATTTTAACGCACGTTCCTCAGTTGAGTGAGAGGACATCGTCTCAAGCGTTATTTCCTTTTCTGTGAACTAATAATTCATGTCCTTTGCTCACTTATCTACTGGGTTGTTTTATATTTAAAGGAGATTAGTTCTTTCTCCAAGATAGGAGTTGTATGTATTTTTTTTCCATTTTGTCATTTTCCTTTTCTTAAGGGTCTGATCTCTACCATCTCCCCCCAGTTCCCATTGCCTGTCACCGATTCTGGCACACAGGAAATACTCAGTAAATATTTGTGACATAAACAGCATTAGGGGGAGAAGAAACATCTGTCCAGATCCCTGCTCTGTGCCTTATATTCCCTGCAGAGACCTGAGTGAGCAACAGAGAATCACACATCATTCTTCTTTCAACAGCCACAGCTCAGCACAGTTTACCCGAGGCTAAGCAGGGTACTGACCTGCAACAGAAATTCTGGCGGTCTTTTCCTGGCTGAGGAGGGGATTTCTGACCATACAGGATACACCTTCCCCAGAGCTGCCTTTCAGGATCACAGATGCTGCAATTGTATACAGGCCATCTTCATCTATACCCAAAGGTGCTGCCACAGCCGGCATGTCCTCTCCCTTGGCATCTCTCCACTGTATTTGGGGTTGGGGATACCAACCGGTGGACACGCACTCCAGATGGATCCCTCCATCCTCATAACCCTTCATTTCAATGTGAGGATCAGAACCCATTGCTGTGGAAGGATAAATGAACCTGAATTTTTGGAGCCTCCTGTATCAGTGAGAGTCTCAATAGGAATTGGTGGCAAGCTCATATTAGATAATTCAAGAAGAGTTTTGTTAAGGACCTGTTTACAAAAGTGTGGTCATGGTGAGGGAAAAACTACATGGGATAGAGCAATACCCCAGGGCCAGGAACAGTGGAGCTGTTACCACCCACCCCTAAACCAAAAGGGAGGCAGGGAGGAAACCATTTTGTAGACCTAAAAGAAGAGAGTCATGTAGAGAAAGCTTTCTTGAGAGGAGCTGTGATCTTTGAGAAGGGAATACAGCCAGGCTGATATGGTCCTGCAGGGAGCAAGCAAGGGAGATAAGTACCTTGACCTCTCTCTCTATCCTCTTTCCCATCCTCCATCCTCTGCTCTGTCTCCTTATTGACCAAACCCAGCCAGAGGCCACAGGGCAACAGAGTGCCCAAGAAAGAGAAATGCAACCCTTGACATCTGGACACTGGCCCCGTCTTGGTGTTCTCCTGTTGAACATAAGCAATTCCATGGAATATCAGCATCAGACAAGGGCGCTTTGTCTCTATGATGGGTCAAGAGGAAAACAAAACCACCCAACAATCGTGTTTGAACACAGAGAAAAACATGAACACTGTCCAAACCACAATCATGACCAAACATTTCCCTATCCTGGCTATGAGTGACTGCTGCTCCTTGACTAATTACAGCTTTAGCCTTGCTCTAGTCTCCCTCCTAGATAGGACTTATTAAGACACCCAGCCACAGAATCATAACCTGAACCTTCCTGACAGCATCGAAGGCAGTGCAAAGCCCCACTTCCATAAACCCACCACCAACTCCCCTAACACAAGCCCAAATTGTATACCAAGTTGCCTCTAACAGGCTCTTACTGAGACACTGTATGGTTCCCACATAGTGTGCCTTCTCCCTCCCGGCAACAAGTAATATACACAACTTGGTCAACTCCAGGTGTGTTCCTGGGGGCCTTTGGTGGGAGAATATTGGCAGCACAGATGCTGTCCTACAGGTCAGCCTCCCAGGGCCCACATCAGCATGTACCTGGAGGGGCCACAGAAGAGATCTGGAACACAACTGAATCCAAACAACTGTGTGCCTTCACTGAGGAGGTATTTTCTTATCCTTCCTATCCCCGAACTTCCACTTCCCTGCTTAGACCCTGGTGGCCAGCATGAGGGAGTTCTTTCCTCTTTATTACAGGGTGCAGGAAGGATTCTTCCCCAAGGAAAACCTGTGTCTTTCCCAAGGACTGCAGAGAAACAAAGTGGGAAGGCAGAGGAGGCAGATCCTAGTGAACAGCCAAGAGTGCTTTGAGGTGGACTTGGAGCATGACCTCTGTCTCCATCCCCAAGTCTCACGGAGGAACCAGCTCAGAACAAAACCTAGAGGCTCACTTGCAACCTTCAGCTCCACTGTGGCTTTTTCAGAGAAGTTTTCATCTTGGAAATAACACAGGTAGTTTCCACTGTCAGAGACTCTGACATTGTAAATTCGGAGAGTAGCCTTCCCTTCAGTGATGCCATCGCTTAAAATCGAAGTTCTCCCTCGATACTCTGCCATCTGTTGGTCTTCTACTTCCTGCCCATTTGCATACATGTATACTACCTCCCTAAGGCTGGATCTCACCCACATCAGCTCCATGGTCTCCACACTCTTCTTCGGGGACAGATGACAGGGGAGATCAGCGTCTTCACCCACCATGACCAGGATGGGCTCAGGGGGTCCAATCACAGAAAACTGAGCTGTTTAATAAAAGGGAGAAGATCCATCAGAGGAAGTTGGGCCCATGAGGGTAAGGGGGTTGGATCTCAGGCAGGGAGCATGTTGTACAAAAACCTAGAGAGGAACATGATCCTAACAGAAGTACAATTTGTCTTAATAACATGTGCATTTTTATTATGGGATGGGATTTTCAAGTATGAGAAGTTATCAGTGGTTCCGACTAGACACATAGATAATTGTCTGGTTTAGATACATAAAAGCAGAATGTTCCCTACCTGTGCAAGGGTTAAGCAGCTGGACCAAGATGAGGTGGACAAGGATGTCAAGCAGAGGGAAGTCTAGGGAACTTGCCATTTTCATCTGTGCTGCAGATAGATGCCAGAAAGAGTCATGCAGAAACTACAGCCTGGACCTGGAAGAAGATCGCATATTCCACATCAAATTCCACCTCTCCGGGGGCGACTCAGGGTAAAATACACAGTGACTCATGTGGTGACTCAAGATCCTCTTCTGCCAAAATGTCTGCTTGGGAGTCTCTTAACTTTGAGTTCCAAAATGGAAAATGACCCATAAAAATATGTAATGTTAAATGTACATACATTTAACATATAAATGTTGTGTATATAGTGTTAAATGTATATACATTAACCCTAACCTATCAGGGAATCTTTGGTTCTACTGTGCAAACATGATAAGAATCCTTCCACTTTCCCACACTTCCCCTGCTATAGCCAGGTCTAACCCTCTACCATCACACTCTGATTAAAGCAAGACTCTGCTCTCTGGGTCCCCTGATTTTCCCTGTGTCCCCTACAGTCTATGCTCAACATAACAGTCAGGTTGTTCCTTGAGTCACATCATGTCACTCCTCTGCTCAGCACCTTCCAGTGGCTCCCATTTCACTCAGAGCAGATGCTGAAGTCCTTACAAGGGTCAACACGACCCTCCAGGACCTGCACCTTTCACTTCATCTCCTCTACTCTCGTCTGCTCCAGCCCCACTGTCATTTTTCCTGGTCCTTGACCAGGCCAGGACAGAGGACCTCAGCCCTTATTCCTCCCTTTACTTGGAACTTTCTTCCTCTCAATATGCACAAGGCTCTGTTCTCACTCCCTCACCCGCTTCAAGTCTCTCCTCTAAAGTCAGTTCCTCCATGGAGTGGAGGGGGAGAGCTGTTAAGACAAGCATCTGCCTCCTTAATGATGTCCTCTTTTGGTCTGGCTTAGAGAACAGAGCCTGTCCTCCCATGCTCCCACTGGGACTTGCCTAAATTAATATATTTAGTCCTATTTTTCAGTAAAGTGGTTTCAGGGAGCAACCATGTCTTGGTTATGCATGTAAGAGTGTTACTACTCAGTGTGCCTCAGTTCACACTTTTCACAATTGTTCTTTGGGGAAGAAACATCCCTGGGAAGGAAATCATTCATTTCCTGTCTTCTCTTTTCCCATGTGTTCACCAATGCTCCTTGGCAGATGGTTTCTGAGCTCACCAGAAATGGTTAATTTCACTGGTCTTAGTCTTTCTATTACTAGAGGTGTAAGAGCTGGCACTTGCAAAGAAGGGGCCAATATGTGAAGCTAGGAGCACACAGCAGCCCAACAAAGCTCATGCCTCTGCGAAGTGCTGAGGTCTCTCAGGTTGAAGGCAGGGCCCCTGCAACTCCCCACTACCCGCCCAGTGCTCTCAACCGTATCTTGGCTCAGAAGAGTACCTCCACCATCTTTTAGGCATCATATGTGGCGTCACTGTGAACCTTTCTAATAAGGAAAGTGTGGGGACTTTGCAAGCTGGCAAGGCTTAATTCTAGTTGGAGTTCTAGCTTGGCTTCCATCCTAACCACCCCAGAGTTGGCTGCATCCCTAGATAGCGGATAGCCCAAGACCAAGCATAGGTGGATTACCCAGAGGCATGACCGAGATCTCTGGACCTAGCATCCCCCCTCCTCCCTTGGTCCTCTCACATACTGTATCCTCTGCTTCCTTGAAGATGTCAGGTGGAATGGGGTGGTAACAAATGCCTTGAGGGTGTGCCCATTTGGGAGCAACTCTGTGGACTCCTCTGGGCCTCAACCCACGGCCATCACGTTCAAATCATGCCCCCATCAGACTCTGGATAAGATCCAGGCAGACTCCCTGGAGGAGGCTCTGAAGTCAATCAGAGGCTGAACCCATCCCTTCTTATTCACAAGGCTAGTGAATGGGAGAGCTAGGAATAAGACCAGGTCTCACCCACCTTTTCATTCATTCGTTCAACAGATATTTCCTGAGCACACACTATGTGCCACGCCTACTGTGTCTTAGGTGTAGGAACAAAAGAGAGGTGGAAACTAGGTAATGGCTTTATGATTCACAAGCTGTGTGATTTCAGCCATATGACAAAACCTATTTGAACTCCTGTCACTCATGAAACAAAGTGAAATATGAAATTTAGAATGTGCAGAATTGGCTCTGCAATTCCATTTCAAGATATCTGGTCCAGCAAAGCACTTACATGGGTCCAGAGAGAAGCATGTGTAAGGATGACCCTGAAGCATTGTTTATAAAAGTAAAAAAGTGATCAACAATGTAACTGGCCACCCATAGGAGACTGGTTAGTTAAATCGTGGCTCATCCCTCTGAAGGAATTTAATGTGGCAGTTAATACTAATTTATAGTCACTAACCCAAATAGTAAACACACATTAAGTGAACAAAAAGCAAATTGCAGTAAAATACTAACAATTCCATTAAAACACAAAAGCAAAGCTATAAATCTGTATATACGCGTTTGTGTAATTTCCTTAAAAAAGTTCTAAAAGGATACATACTACACTGAGAATTGGGGATTGAGTGAAAGATACTTTTGTCCTTTGTGCCCTATACTTAGAAAATTATTTGAATGTTTAAATTTAAAAAATTTTCAAGTATAACTTAACAATAATTGTTACAAGTAATTATAGTGACTGCAACATATTAGTTGTTCAGAAAATACCAACTCCTCCAAAACAAGCCAGCGTGAAGCCCCCAGTCACAGTACCTGCAAGTCCAGGAACTGCCGGGGGACAAGGGAGCAGAAGTCTGTGCAGCTGGCTCTCCTTCAGACCCTTGTCTGAAACCTGGACTCGCCCTCAGACAGAATATTGCCTTTCAGTCCATCCTCTCCAAACTGTTCTCTATGATTCTAGAGAGAGGACAGTATTTTCATTACTATATTAGGTACAATTTCTCTTCTGTCCTCGGAGTGGGGAATATGTTTTCACTTATTCTTTGGATATTTACTATTTTTTATTCCTGATTACAGCCAATTTTAAAATAGAGAAAAATAGAAAATAATAAAATTTAAATAATCTGTAATGGTAATCATATACTTCCCTGAATGGGAATGTAAATATTTTTGAATGTATTTTGGCCATATAGGTATATATACCAAAGGCCTTAAAAATGTTTCTTCCTTTGACTCAGAAATTCCGCTTGCAGGAATTACTCTTAAAGAGAAAAAATTAGACATTAAGACAAAGTTTTATGTTTAAGACTGTTCATCATAGTAAAATCTACAATAGCAAAATGTAGATAAAATTTAAATATTCAAATTGGATCAGATTTTTCATAACTGTACGTAAATCTCTTGATTACAATATGATTCGTAACGACTATATGGAAATCCCTTTATAATTGGACAATATGTTGTTTATCCATTCTCCAACTGTTGTATTTGTATATGTATGTTGTATGTGGAGGTTGGTTCAAATTTTTCTACATTACAAATAATTCTGTAATGAACATCTTTACATATAAATTTTTAAGGCACATCTCTTTTTAGAATCTCTTAGAATAAATTCCAGAGACGACCAGGAGAGATTATAAGAGTCCTCTGCTGCTTTCTGACCACAGTAAGTTCCTAAGAACATGCAGTTGTCAGTTTCTTCATTCAGGTTGTCTCCCTCTCACCAAATTTCCCAGTGCAGGTCCTCACCTTTTACACTTCCTCCTACCGCCACCCCCTATCCCCTCACCACACACACAAACACCAAACCCCTTTCTTTGGGTGAGCACTTCCCTGTACCCATGCTTAGCTTTTTAGCCTCTCTCCCTCCAAGGCCTGTGGCCCTGGCTTTTACCATTTTCTCCCCCTTACCCCTTGGTTTTACCAATATCTCCCACTTACCTCTTGGCTTTTGCCAATTTCTCGCCCTTACCCCTTAGTTTTGCCAATTTCCCCACTTACCCCTTAACACTCTCACCTGAAAATCACAGCTCATGGAATGAAGGTAATCAATAGTTCTCCATTATAGGTACCAGTCTGCTCTGGAAGAAAGGGAAAAGAAAGAAAAGCTGCTCACTGTGGGAAACAGTAGCAGAGTCCCTCTATGGAAGAATTAGTTTTTTGATTGGCTCAGAGGGGTATTTCTCATCAGTTACTGGACAGAAACCAGTGGGGAAGGTTAGAACAAAAACGGAAACTGTACTGGCTTCTACAAAATGAGGAAAAATTACAGCCCTATTTCCCACACTGTTTGTGTCTCTCTGTTTACCTATTTGAATCATTCATGTGTATGTTTGTGTATAATCAGTATTTCATTATATACACCTGTTTTATGTCCTTTATACCATAATAGATTTATCAGCAGAACTAAGCAGAAAAATTACTAGATTTTAATGTGTGAAGAGAGGAAGACATGCATTAATTAAAATGTTTCTGTGGCCGTTTGCTGACATCTGTGTGCATGTAGGTGGGCACACGGAGGAGGACATCTTTTACGGCAGAGCCAAATGGAAGCACGAATGGAAGGAAAACCAGATCCCCTCCACCTTTTCAGCACCTCTGAAACTCAAGTCTCAGATCCATGACCACATCAGATAATCTTGAGGTTCCAGAGGCTGTGCTGCCAGTGACTGATGGGCACGTCTTACGTTTTTCAGAACATTCTTGTTTGGAGGGTTGCTGAGCAGCTTCCTTCACCCTCTGAGCCTTATTTGTGCTACATTTGTGTTTTCACACGTATTTGTTTCTACTCTGCCTGCAGGATTCTGTGTTCTCTGAGGTTAGACTCTGGATAGGCTGTGAATGCTGTTTCTATAGGGTGTCTTTGGGATAAACTGTTCCTCTCTATGGCCTAGGGCCTTCCAAGACACTTTATTTTCATCTCAAGATGGTGATTAAAGCTCCTAGGGTTTTGATGTGATCTTGGCTGATAGAAGTTGATTATATTCCAACACTTTGAATTTACACTCTTTGGCAGACATGGCTGGTTTCTTGTGTAACGTCTATTCCCTCCTTCTTCTTAGAAATCTAACCCAATTTCGGGATAAGGGGTCCTGCGATGTGTTCATCAACCTTATAGATGGGAGAGATCAACGGACTAAGTTTGAGCCAAAGATTTGTAGGTGGAAGTTGTTGGGTTATGTTTCTCAAGAGAGGTCCCTACTCTTCCTACTTCCTCCTTCCTTTTGCCTAGAACTTGGTCCTTGGAGTTGGAGTGTAGCGACCATCTTGTGAGCATGAGGCAACCTTGAGAATGGAAGCCACATGCTGAGATGGAAGAGAATAAAGACAGAAAGAGGCTGGGTCATGGATGCTTCTCTGAGCTGCCAGACCAGCTCTGGACTGCTGCCCTCTGAATTCATTTTATACTGAAAGGAAAACAATCCTTGTTTTTTTGAGGTCTGTGGTACTTCTGGTCTCTGTTATCAGCAGCAAAATACAACTTTTCCCTCCCAACCAGCTACTGTCAACAGTTTATCATGAAACTTTCCAAACATAGTGCAAAGTTGAGAGACTTTTTCAGTGAACACCAATGTGCCTGTTAGCAAACATAAATGTGGTTTTGGTACCCAATGTGCAAGATGGTCAATTAACTGAAACAATAGTCTTGTGGTTGGAAAAGAGGTTTATTAATGAATGGCAGCTAGATGAAGAGATGGGACTTAAAATTCAAATCCACCTCCTTGAAGGGAAAAAGGTAGGGTTAATTTTCTGGTGCATTATGTAGGGGAAGGGAAGCATGTGGTGGGATTTTAGATGGACAAATAGCATGTGGCCTTGTTGCCTGGCATCTTCAGCCTGTGTTTGGTCTTAGATCTCTATCTCCTTGAATATCTGGACTTTTCTGGTTAGTTTTTATCCTAGACCTGCGTTTGGCTTTGTGAGGCTGAATCTAGACATCTGTATCTTGACTTGCTGGGGAAAAGAGCTCACCGTAATAATAATGAGGGCTAGAAAGACCTGGTTAGTTTTAAATAACAGTTGATTATGATGAGTATGCAGAGCTGGAGTTAGCTTATCTCAAATTTTTTTCTCCCTTCTTCTAGTCAAGGGAAGATTTTAACTCCTTCATTCTTGGTTTCATGCCTAGTCTCTAGATTCTACAGAGATCATTTTACTATACTTGCTTTATTATAATCTATCCTTCTGTTCATCCCACATCTATCCTTATTTATTTATTTATTCCAACCCTTATTTATTTATTCATTTGGTGCCTTTTATAGTAAGTTACAAACATCAATGCACATTCCCCTGGATAGTTCAGCACAGCTGTCAAGTAGAACACAGTTCTGAAATGCTTGAGGCACCAATGCTGTGTTTGAAACACAAATGTAGGAGGACCTTACAGTTATGCTTTCTAAAACGAACAGTGGGATATTTTTATCTGGCTATCTCTAGCTCCTAATGCCTCACCATCCCCAAGGATATTGACAGTCTGTCCCCAGATACTTGTCCACTCCTAGTAAGAGTCAGACTACCTCCAGGAGGCTGTGTCAGCAGGAGGCTCCAGGACTGCCTCTTAGCAACAGCTTGAGAAAGGGACAAGCACTGTCTCAGGCCCCTTCTGTCCATTCCCTGGCATCTGCTGAGAGAAGTGCTCTCTTCTCCACAGATACCACAAGAAGGGGATCTATGTTCTGGAGGACCTGTAGGATGTAGGGCCCAACAAATCACTTGAAGAAGAGCAGGCATAAAATCACTTATGAAGGAAGCTGAGGAGAGGCATCAGGTTGACTTCAGAGAAAAACTAAAATAGGAGGTTTGGCATTATGCTACAGAAGGGTAATAAAGTAAAATTTAGCTCAGAATGTAACAATCTGCCCTGCCTCTCATCAGGCTTGGATAGGAGACATATTTGATGAAGCCAACAACAGAGTTAACAGAAATAATATTTCTCCCAAGGTCATGCTGCAGCTGCAAACGGGCAAAACAACTGCCTTGTCTGAGTGCTTCCTGCTTTCTTACTCACTGAGAAGCTTCCTTTTAAAAATTGACAGTCTACTTTCATTCTTCTGCACGTGGTTGTCCAGTTTTCCCAATACCGTTTATTGAAGAAGCTTTCTTTTCTCCACTGTATGTTCTTGTCTCCTTTTCAAAGATTAGCTGTCCATTATCTTACACCATACACCAAAATTAACTCAAAATGGTTTAAAGACTTGACCTGACCATAAAAGTCCTAGAGAAAACATAGGCAGTAAGCTCCTTGACATTGGTGTTGAGAATGATTTTTTGGATTTGACACCAAAAGTAAAGGCAACTAAAGTAAAAATAATCAACTGGGCCTACATCAACCTAAAAATCATCTACACAGCAAAGGAAACCACCAACAAAACAAAGACAACCCACTAATTGAGAGAAATTATTTGCACATCGTATATCTGACAAAGGGTTAATTTCTAAAATAAATAAAGAGCTCATACAACTGAACAACAAAAAAAATGAACAACCTGATCAAAACATGGGCAGAGGATATAAACAGACATTTTCCCAAGAAGTTATACTGATGGCCAATAGGCACATGTAAAGACGTTCAACAGCACTAATTATTATAGAAATGCAAATCAAAACTACAGTGAGATATCACCTGTGAGAATGGCTATAATTAACAAGACAAGAAACAACAAGCGTTGGAGAGGATGTGGAGAAAAGGGTACCCTAATACACTGTTGATGGAATGCAAACTGGTGAAACCACTATGGAAAAAGTACGAGAATTCTCAAAAGTTAAAAATAGAAATACCATATGATCCAGATATTCCACTACTGGGTATTTATGCAAAGAACATGAAATCAATAATTCAAAAAGATTTGTGCACCCCTATGCTCATCACAGCATTATTCACAATAGCCAAGATGAGGAAGCAACCAAGGCCCATCAATGGAAAAATGAATGAGGAAGACGTGGTGTATATATACAGTGGAATACCACGACTCATAAAAAAAGACAAAATCATGCCTTTTGCAACAGCATTCATGGACCTTGAAGGTATCATGCTAAGCAAAAAAAGTCGGACAGAGAAAGACAAATACCATGTGATTCCACTCATATGTGGAAGATAAACAAACAAACACACAGCTAAGGAGAACAGATTAGTGGTTACCAGAGGAGAAGGAGGTGTGGGGAGAGCAAAAGGGGTAAAGGGGCACATATGTATGGTAACAGATAAAAATCAAACTATTGGTGGTGAATACTATGCAGTCTATACAGAAACTGATATATAATAATATACACCTGAAATTTATACAATGTTATAAGCCAATACGATGCCAATAAAATAATTTAAAAAATGTAAAACAATAAAAACTAAGAGTTTATCAAAATTTTGCTGCTGGAAATCACATCAATAAGAATGAACCATTCCACTCCTGTCTAGAGAATCCAAGTTACTTATACCCAGAAAAGCAGGCTTGATTTCCAACCTAGATGCTGAACTTCAGATAAGGGATTTCTGCGCACAAGTCTTTATATCTCTTAACTTTATAGATTTCAAGGAAATAGGGACCCAGGTCAACTTTTCATCCACACCTTTACATGAAGCCCTGGGAGAGAAATGTGTATGAAATGGGGAAGGAAAAAGCATTAATTCAACATATTTCTATTGAGAATATACCATCTAGTAGATATCAGGCACTGAACTTAAAATTTGTGAGGAGACGTGGCAGAATGGAGTAGTTAAACCATAGACTCTGAAGCCAGATTGCCTGGGTGAGCTTTACTAGTTATGTGACCTTGGGGCAATTACTTAGGCTCTTTGTGCCTTAGTTTTTCTATCTGTAAAATATGATAATAACAGCATCTGTCTTTTCCACTTGCTGTGTGAGGGTAAAATGTGATAATTCAGATAATTTGCTTACAGCAATGCTTCATATAATAAGCCATAAAAGTGTGTGTTAAGTAAAAAGTAGAACTGGTCCCTCTTCTCCGAGCTGATAGGTGGGAATTTTCCCTTGAGGACAGTGAGACGCCTGGGATTGTTGCTGAAGGAATGCAAAACTGGAGGGTGGGCTTCTACTGTTAACTTCAGGAGATGATCCTGATAGATCCCAAAATGTATGTAGAGACTTCTTTCCACAGGAAAT